CACGTATGTTGTCATGTTGATCGGACAAATACCTAACAGAGCTGCCTTATTCTTATTAGAAAGTTAGCTAGTGCACGCCTAATATGCAAGTTTCGACACGTTCCAACGCAACTCTGCACGGGTTTTATTTACGATTATTTTGGAAATTGTTCAAGCGACGTGCGTTTGAAAAAAAACGACTTTCCTTTTTTTGGGACACCCTAGTACATATGAATCCTAAAGTGCAACCGGGAAAGAAAGCCTATTCCGAGAAATCGGATATTCCATTAGAGCAACGCATTAAACAGTGTGCTTTCTGTTTGGAGCGATGTCTTCGCGATTCTCGGATTGCGTTTCCCTTCAGAAAAACAAACGCTAGTCGACGGATCACGGTCCAGATTCGTCAATTTGAGTAAATGGATCTTGACGTTTTTGCTGGAAACGATGGAGCTTAGATGTATTGCTGTTCAAACATGTGTAGTTCGTATTGTCAGAATTTATACGTCTGTGTCGCGTCTTACCATTTCTGAAAATAGTGTTACGTGGGTTTGATGGGGTACCTGCTTTATACGTCTTTCCCATTTACTCCCCACGCCTACTGGATGTTACATGACGTGTATATACATCACAAAAAACATTTACTGTCTGTTTGTTTGTCTGTCTGATCTTTGATCCTTCTATAACTTAAAAAGTACCACTTGAATATTGATGAAACTTTCAGACAATGTTATCATTATGCCAATGACAAAAAAGGTATGTAATTTTTGAAAATCGGTTCAGTGGCGGAGGAGCGAGAGAAAAAAATTAACTACATAAAGATTGCTCAAACTTCGTTTTTGACATTGCAGAGGCTCTTAATTGTTTTTGGAAAAGCTCTTGTTGGAGTTAAAATCGGAAGTTCGGGGCTGTTGGGGTGGAGGAGGGATCGTCTCGTTTGACTAGGGATTCATCAAGTACATGTAGCTTGATATTTTCATAAATAGGATTACTTGAGACGTTGATGTTTGGCTTGTCTTGATTATTTATTGTTCTACCTAACCTAAGGTCAAGCAATTTCGAACTATACTAAGTGACATATAAATCCGAAACACCCAGTTTAAATGGTTTTATTTTAATAAAAGTTGGTGAATCTTACTGTAAATAACAAGGGAAAAAATTTTCAGCCTTATCAGTTGGACATTCCGGTTTTTATACTGCTTTTTTTTAATTCACTAACGCTCTAAAAATGAATATTTCACGCAGTAAAGAATCAACGTTGGCGGATTTTGGCTCTGACATCCTTTACGATCGGTTACGATGCCTAGAGTACGGAGACCTGTACGATTTTGTCAACTTAGTGAGTTTGATAGGGGCCGTATAGTGAGACTTCGGGAAGCTGGACTTTCTTTTCGGGCAATTGCAGTTAGAGTGCAAAGAAGTGTAGACACTGTGGTTAGGTGTTGTCAGGCATAGCTTCGAGAAGGCCGTACGCAAAGAGCAAGGGGCACTGGACGCCGCCGTAGAACAACAGAGCGTGAAGATCGCCGCCTAAGATTATTGGCCTTAAGGGACCGTTTCTCCACTACCAGGTCCATTGCAAATGAATGGTTTGCAGAACACGGAAGACCTATTGGCATGCGAAGTGTTTACCGACGAATGAGAAGTTTTGGCTTGTTTTACATACCGGCCACACTGGGTCCTCCCTTTAACTCGAGAACACCGACGTAATCGCCTTGAGTGGTGCAAACAACGGTCACTCTGGGATCAGGAATGGAACAGTATTGTCTTTAGTGACGAGTCTCGATTTTGTTTAGGCATGCACGATAGTCGTGCCAGGGTTAGAAAGCGACGTGGTGAAAGGAGGAATCCACAGTTTTTTGTTGAAAGACATGTTCATCACACTGTTGGAGTTATGGTTTGGGGTGCTATAGCTTATGGTTGCAGGTCACCTTTAATCTTCATCAGAGGTAACATGAACGCGCAGCGTTATATCCACGAAGTTCTAGAACCCAATCTTTTACCCTATCTTGACACCCTGGTAGATCCAACTTTCCAACAAGATAATGCCCGATCACATGTTGCAAGAGTCACAATAGACTTCTTTCAACATAATGATGTCACATTGTTACCATGGCCACCAAGATCTCCCGACTTATCCCCAATTGAGCACGTGTGGGATATGATGGGTAGGAGATTGCTCAATTTGCAACGTCCTCCTCAGACTCTAGAAGCACTTCGAGAGGAGTTGGTGGTTGCCTGTAATGAGATACCACAGGAGGATATTGACCACCTGATCAGAAGCATGCCTAGGCGCGTTGGAGAATGCGTAGCAATCAGGGTGCATCCACACTTATTAAAGGTTCAAAGGGCTTTAAAGCAGTGCAATCATTTTGAAATTTTTATCATTTAGTTATTATGCTTCATTAAGTACTTATACAAAAATTTAATGAAAATGAAATGAAACCATTTAAACTGGGTGTTCGGATTTATATGTCACTTAGTATATTTGAATAGAAAATGCAACACCGACTTCCTAGTCGGCACTCCTGTTCTGTAATTATGAGCATACTTTTACAAGTTTTAAGTCTACTGATAAATAGAAAGTGATTGAAATCTCAACTCAAAATTTCGCAAAATAGCTGAGATAGCCCACCATAATGTTGATGTGTTGAAGCTCCTCTGTTCGCTACACATTTGCGGCACTCTAGACATGATAATGCAATGAAACGACAACGAAACAAATGGAACCCGCATAGAAAAACCACTAAATTAGTATTACTAAGTACTTAGTAGTAAACGTGTTCATATTGTTCGGATCTGATATAATAAAAAAGCCTTTACAGAAAAGCACGGCTCGCAATGCCTTTAACATTTTATCAGCGTAAACTTCCATGATAGCGAACATGTTTAAAGTTTTATCAAGATTCAATAAACACCTAATCAAAACATAATATTCCTCAAATTGTCGATAGTTGTCAATAGAGAATAGAGTTACTTTGAGCAATTTTTGTGGTTACAAAATGCGTTTTACGAACCATGAAGCTATTGATATGCTTGCAGAATAAATGTCTTCAGAATGCCGTAGTAGCAGAAATCGTTCTATCATCATACGATAAACAAATTATTTTATTCAATATATTTTTTTTTTCTCTTAGTGCGTGTATCATACATCCGATATTTCCAGGCACATTTGCGCATGAAACTTAGAGGAAGATTGAACGGACGTGTCGCGTCTAGGTCCCATTTACCGTACGCTAAGAACTGACACCGATGCGCACGAAATCCTGTAAGCCTGCAGCTTGCAACTGCCGTCTAATCACTTACTAGCACACTGCTCGAGCTGCGACACTACAGCATCGTTGATGTTGCCAGATGGGCCTTTCAGTAAGGACAGGGAAAAATTCTAGATTCTTTTTTGCCAAACTTGTGTTCCCCTCGAAAACAAAATCGACGAGTCTGAGCGTTTTTCCAGAAAAAAAAACTGAGCTGCCAGTAAATGCGTCTGTTTCGTTTTCGATTGCGCCACCCTGTATACCAACGGGCGCTTCCTAAGTTTTAACACAAAACATTAATTATCTCCAAAATTTCATGTGGAATCATAACGTATTATCCTTGCTTAGATCAATATGTTTGCGTATCGTGCTCTCGGTCGATCCAGCGACGTCTCCATAATAACTGAAGGTTCCAGACAAACCGTGGAATCACGGTCTATCAATAAGACGAAGTTGTAACTACCGGTGGCAGTCTCATTTTCTTTAAGTATTTCCTCGAAATAATGAGCGGCCTGTAACGTGAAGTGGGTGCTACGCGATTCCCGACGACTCGTTCGCCGGCTAGTGATACGTGCACTGCTGCAGTTTGAGATGAGTTTTAATGAAAAAATATAAGGTGTAAAAAGATACAGTGTTTACACGACTTGCGGCATTGATCGTTTCAAACGAATATAGGGAACCCCGTAAGTAGACTAGGGCTACTTTGGACCCCCCCACCACTTCCACTTAGGCCACGCCCACCGCCTGCTCTGATTGGCGGATTGACGGCGGGAAATTTGAACGGGGTTGATGGATATGTTGATTGGCGGGAACCGCTAGTTCACCGCGTGCTCTGATTGGCGGATCAGACGGCGGGGAAATTTGAACGGGTTGATGGTATATGTTGCTTGGCCCCGCTAGATGCCGCACCCGACCGGAAGTGATTCAGACAGCCGACGATAGTAAGGTGTAGTATAACGTCTATGCGTAAGTGTGTGACTCATTTCATGTTTGCGGTAAATATTTGCATATAGATCGATAAAAGCCGATGAATAACGGTAATTATAGATGCAATTCTGCGGATCAGTTTAAATGGAAAACGTATAAAATTCGCGGAGAACAATGCGTATAGGATGATCTCAATAGTCAACCACGTCTATTCAGTGTGCTATAAAAATGGAATTGCTCATATGTGGTGCTACAGTTAGTTAATTTTTAACATTGATACAATATTGAAAACATAGTACAGTCTATATTGTGTATCTAATAGATTCCAACAAGGCAATCAC